CCCCCCCCCCCCCCCCCCCCCTCTCAAATATTGGGGATCTACGCCTATGAATACGAGAATGCCTCAGCAGGTGGGTGATGATATTCGAGGCAAGAATTTTAATTGAATACAAACAAGTGAAAACTAAAAACAACCAAATTAGTATTTAGCAAATAGCAAAATTCAATGACAAAAATTAGTACTAACCTCCGATAATATTTTTTCCAGTAATTCCAGTTGTTCGGTACTCATGGAATTGAGTTTACTATTTTGTGATATGTCGCCCTCTAAAGTTTGGATTCCAGTTCCATCTTTTACGTCAACATTTATTTCGTCCCCTATGGTTGGCTGTGGTATCCCTGACATTACCCCATCTTCGTTGTACGTACCCTCTACTGAATCTTGAGGAGGTCTATATGTTTGAGAAAGTTTATCCAACTTCCAGTAAAAATGAGAGCATATATAACTTTAAAATCAATAGAAAAATAATGAAGAAATTGTCAGTATTTTAAGAAACCTTTCATTTTTAACTGTTAAAACAGGGGCGGCGAAAGGAATTACCCGACGAGGGGTCCAAGCTCCCCGACAAGGGGGTCCCTACACCCTCCCGTCGGGGAAGCCTAAAAATATTTAATTTGTCGGGGAATTTTTTTTCATTAACCTTTTGTTAATTATGGGATTCTTTATTTTAAAATATAATTTGATAGAAATGCAAGTTAAGAGTACCCTGTCGTGGGTACGAATCCCCTGTCGAAGGTACTAGCCCCTGTTCGAGAAGAGCTGGCGCCACCGCGGCAACCCAGACGACCGCAATAATAGCACATAACCGGGTAGCATCACTCGTACTAAACAGTATTTAATCCCTAAATTTGACAGCTTATAGTAAGACATGTTTGAGTTGTACTTTCGGTGTTCGAGATTTGGTTTTTTCCCGACGACCTTAATGGAAATTCCTCGACAGGGTGGTCCAGAGGTCACCAACGGGGGACCCACCGCTAGCGCTGCCCCTGTGTTAAAATGCTTCTGTTTTGTTATAAAATATGAAATCCTCAAAAACAAAATGATATCCAAATGCTCATATACAGGGGGTGGCCGTGTGTGGGCCTAAATCGGCCTAAAACCCAATTAATGAAAACTAGATAGTCCTAACTCGCTTATTAGAACACATTCTGCAATGGGTACTCACGTCCTCCCGCACACCTAAGGCTACAATTTAATGTGAGTATGTTTTCCGATTGCCAATAGACCGGAACGATTTTCAGTTTTTGCTGATTTACAAACCTTTTACTGCAAACATTTTTAAATTGAGTGCCAGCCAATTAAATTGCAAAGAATATTGAAATTGTATTAATAACTTATTTTACTAAGTAAGGAAATGTTTTCCCGTTCGAATAATTGAAAGCTATGATATCTTATGCAAAATGTTTAGCACAACATAGACGGTGATAGAGGCCTATGTTTAATTTTATGCAGCCTAAGCGTACTTACACTTTTCCCCAAATCTTCAATCTGAAAGAAACATCAAATACGAATGAAAAAAGTAGGTCTATATAATATATTTATATAATAATAGGTCAATAATAATAATATATACACTCCATGTATATTGAGGCATTCGACATTATTTTAAGTGTTAAAAGTAATGCGTATTTAGCATAGCAGAATCATTATATTTGCCATTAGATATAATTCAAATTGCAAGACCTACCTGTTTTTTCAATAATTCGAGCTGTTGAATACAAAAAAAAAATACAATTAGAATATACAAATTTGAGTCATATTGTGTATGCCCTACACATGTGTAACAACAATTTTAAGCGATGCAAACGTTGAATGATTACCTTTTCTTTATTCAGATCTGTGCTTGAAAGATGCCTGTCTTGAGGAGTGAAACCACCTTGTGATGCTGCAGAGAAAACCCAAAAATATTAACATCATTATCATCATCATCTTTATCATCATAATATCATAATTATAATCATTACCATACTCATAACTAATAACCATATACTTATCATAATAGTAATAATCATAATTCATAATAATAACAATAATAATAATAATCATTATTATCATCATTATCATTATTATCAAAATCATCATCGACGTGCCAGCTGAGAACCTGGAGGGGTTTCCTGCCCCCGGAATGTGGTCAGGGGTACACACCTTGAAAATGAACCCAAAGACTTATCTATTTTAAACCCTTATTTAAACTGTTTCACGCTTGGTTAGGGATTTTTGCTTTTGCTGGGGTGGGCGTGCTCCCTTCACCACCACACATGTGTCACTAACAGTTGGTCGAAGTTACCAAAGCTAAAATCAACACTATAGTTAAAATATGTCTGTCGGAACATTTTACCTTCATTGAGTGGGATGCAATGGACGGCAACATGGAGTAGACATAGTGATACGATAATCACTAAATTATTCATCCTTCCAAAATGGTAAATCTCAATTGTTGAACACCTTCTTCTTGCAACTTAGGAATAATCGCAAATTAGAGCGAGGTATATCCACATAGTTGTAAACTTAGAAGTTGATCGTCTCCGTGATTTTTATGTGAATAACAATTGGACTTTGACATTTGCAGGGATATTGATATACTTTACTGATAAAAAGTCTTGTTGTTTTATCAGAATTTTCAAAGTGAAGCAGGTGATACAGTC